ATAGACGTCCAAACATAGACATCTTGGCTAAAACAAAGCTATAGATGTCTAAGAATAACCCAAAATTAGACTCAGTCATCAACACCCTAGTACAGTTGTTTTCATTGGTAGAATATGTGAAGTATAATATTTTAAAGCAACTATATACAGATAATTAATGCATTGTGTCAAACCCAACCCCTGCAGAATAAAAATCAAACCACAGCAAAATGTTAAAAGTAGCGCAAAACTGCAGACTTGGCAACCCAGTTTAATGCTGCTATCAAATAGATGTCTAATAGACGTCCAAACATAGACATCTAGGCTAAAACAAAGCTAAAGTCTAATAGATGTCTAAGAATAACCCAAACTTCATCGTCCAGTCATCAACATCCTACTACAGTTGTTTTCATTGGTAGAATATGAAAGTTAAATATTTATTGCAACTATATACATATAATTGCTGCGTTGTGTCAAAGCCATAACCTGCAGAATAAAAAAACAAACCGCAGACTTGGCAACCCAGTTAATCAATAGATGTCTAATAGACGACCAAACATAGACATCTTGACTAAAACAAAGCTAAAATCTAATAGATGTCTAAGAATAACCCACAATTAGACTCCTAGTCATTAACATCCTAGTACAGTTGTTTTCATTATTAGAATATGTAAAGTTAAATATGTTAATGCAACCATATAAACATAATTGGTGCACTGTGTCAAACCCATAACCTGCAGAATAAAAATCAAACCACAGCAAGTAGAATAAATGTGCAGACTTGGCAAAAGATTAGGTTTAATAGATGTCTAAGAATTATTCAAAATTAGGCACCCATTCATCAACTTGCTACTACAGTTGTTTTTATTGGTAGAATATGTAAAGTAAAATATTTTAATGCAACTACATTAATATAATTGGTGCACTGTCAACCCCATAACCTGCAGAATAAAAAACAAACCACAGCAAGTGGTTAAAAGCAGCCCAAATCTGCAGACTTGGCAACCCTGTTCAATACTGCAATCAAATAGATGTCTAATAGACGTCCAAACATAGACATCTTGGCTAAAACAAAGCTATAGATGTCTAAGAAAAACCCAAAATTAGACTCAGTCATCAACACCCTAGTACAGTTGTTTTTATTGGTAGAATATGTGAAGTATAATATTTTAACGCAACTATATAAAGATAATTAATGCATTGTGTCAAACCCAACCCCTGCAGAATAAAAACCAAACCACAGCAAGATGTTAAAAGTAGCGCAAAACTGCAGACTTGGCAACCCAGTTTAATGCTGCTATCAAATAGATGTCTAATAGACGTCCAAACATAGACATCTAGGCTAAAACAAAGCTAAAGTCTAATAGATGTCTAAGAATAACCCAAACTTCATCGTCCAGTCATCAACATCCTACTACAGTTGTTTTCATTGGTAGAATATGAAAGTTAAATATTTATTGCAACTATATACATATAATTGCTGCATTGTGTCAAAGCCATAACCTGCAGAATAAAAAAAACAAACAGCAGAAAATAGATAAAAGTAGCTAAAATCTGCAGACTTGGCAACCCAGTTAATCAATAGATGTCTAATAGACGACCAAACATAGACATCTTGACTAAAACAAAGCTAAAATCTAATAGATGTCTAAGAATAACCCACAATTAGACTCCTAGTCATTAACCTCCTAGTACAGATGTTTTCATTATTAGAATATGTAAAATTAAATATTTTAATGCAACCATATAAACATAATTGGTGCACTGTGTCAAACCCATAACCTGCAGAATAAAAATCAAACCACAGCAAGTAGAATAAATGTGCAGACTTGGCAAAAGATTAGGTTTAATAGATGTCTAAGAATAATCCAAAATTAGGCACACATTCATCAACTTGCTACTACAGTTGTTTTTATTGGTAGAATATGTAAAGTAATATATTTTGACGCAACTACATTAACATAATTGGTGCACTGTCAACCCCATAACCTGCAGAATAAAACCAAACCACAGCAAGTGGTTAAAAGCAGCCCAAATCTGCAGACTTGGCAACCCTGTTCAATACTGCAATCAAATAGATGTCTAATAGACGTCCAAACATAGACATCTTGGCTAAAACAAAGCTATAGATGTCTAAGAATAACCCAAAATTAGACTCAGTCATCAACACCCTAGTACAGTTGTTTTTATTGGTAGAATATGTGAAGTATAATATTTTAACACAACTAAATAAAGATAATTAGTGCATTGTGTCAAACCCAACCCCTGCAGAATAAAAACCAAACCACAGCAAGATGTTAAAAGTAGCGCAAAACTGCAGACTTGGCAACCCAGTTTAATGCTGCTATCAAATAGATGTCTAATAGACGTCCAAACATAGACATCTAGGCTAAAACAAAGCTAAAGTCTAATAGATGTCTAAGAATAACCCAAACGTCCAGTCATCAACATCCTACTACAGTTGTTTTCATTGGTAGAATATGAAAGTTAAATATTTATTGCAACTATATACATATAATTGCTGCATTGTGTCAAAGCCATAACCTGCAGAATAAAAAAAACAAACCGCAGAAAATAGTTAAAAGTAGCTAAAATCTACAGACTTGGCAACCCTCTTTAATACTGCAATCAAATAGATGTCTAATAGATGTCCAAACATAGACATCTTGGCTAAAACAAAGCTAAAATCTAATAGATGTCTAAGAATAACCCACAATTAGACTCCTAGTCATTAACTTCCTAGTACAGATGTTTTCATTATTAGAATATGTAAATATGTTAATGCAACCATATAAACATAATTGGTGCACTGTGTCAAACCCATAACCTGCAGAATAAAAACCAAACCACAGCAAGTAGAATAAATGTGCAGACTTGGCAAAAGATTAGGTTTAATAGATGTCTAAGAATAATCCAAAATTAGGCACCCATTCATCAACTTGCTACTACAGTTGTCTTCATTGGTAGAATATGTAAAGTAAAATATTTTAACGCAACTACATTAACATAATTGGTGCACTGTGTCAAAGCCATAACCTGCAGAATAAAAAACAAACCACAGCAAGTGGTTAAAAGCAGCCCAAATCTGCAGACTTGGCAACCCTGTTTAATACTGCAATCAAATAGATGTCTAATAGATGTCCAAACATAGACATCTAGGCTAAAACAAAGCTAAAGTCTAATAGATGTCTAAGAATAACCCAAACGTCCAGTCATCAACATCCTACTACAGTTGTTTTCATTGGTAGAATATGAAAGTTAAATATTTATTGCAACTATATACATATAATTGCTGCATTGTGTCAAAGCCATAACCTGCAGAATAAAAAAACAAACCGCAGAAAATAGTTAAAAGTAGCTAAAATCTGCAGACTTGGCAACCCAGTTAATCAATAGATGCCTAATAGACGACCAAACATAGACATCTTGGCTAAAACAAAGCTAAAATCTAATAGATGTCTAAGAATAACCCACAATTAGACTCCTAGTCATTAACGTCCTAGTACAGATGTTTTCAATATTAGAATATGTAAATATGTTAACGCAACCATATAAACATAATTGGTGCACTGTGTCAAACCCATAACCTGCAGAATAAAAACCAAACCACAGCAAGTAGAATAAATTTGCAGACTTGGCAACCCAGTACATCAAACAGATGTCTAATAGATGTCCAAACATAGGCATCTTGGCTAAAAAATAAGATTAGGTTTAATAGATGTCTAAGAATTATTCAAAATTAGGCACCCATTCATCAACTTGCTACTACAGTTGTTTTTATTGGTAGAATATGTAAAGTAAAATATTTTAATGCAACTACATTAACATAATTGGTGCACTGTGTCAACCCCATAACCTGCAGAATAAAAATCAAACCACAGCAATTGGTTAAAAGCAGCCCAAATCTGCAGACTTGGCAACCCTGTTCAATACTGCAATCAAATAGATGTCTAATAGACGTCCAAACATAGACATCTAGGCTAAAACAAGGCTAAATTTGGGCTGTTAGTAAAAATCTAATAGATTTCTATAGAATAATCTACAATTAAATACACAATGAATGACTACATGCGTGAAGTCTTGTCGACAGCTAAAATGTAGCCTGATTTTAGCTATTAAGTCTATGTTTAGACATCTATTAGACATCTATTAAAAGTGTAGGATGTACCTAATGGTTAAACTAGGTATAGCAGTCCAAATTCATAATATTGGAGGGTTTTTTTGGCCCTTTGACTCCATGTAAACGATGGTTGCCAGATTGACAAGCATTGTTGTGTTTACATTTGTAATATGTGTATTATTTGCTAACTGAATCAACCTCATGTGGATTTTCCGAACGTTGAATCTGCGTCTCATTTTGGAAGCTGCTACTGTTGCAGTTTTGGCTGCGTCTGCATACATTGACGGAGACTTGATTACAGAAATTAGTCAGTGGAATATAATTAGGTAAGTGGCAGGGAGCTGGTTATAGAGACCAACATAAAGACAGATACTTCAAAGGGGAATAACTGACTCTAGCATTGTTTAACAAGACAGATATGTTCACTTAGCATGTATTTTAAATATCTGCAAACATACTATGGTATATTTATGCTTTAGAAGAAAATCATTAAAAACATACATTTGAACAGAATACTGCTTGGTGGGTTCTTTCATGTTGTAAACGCTCACCTTGTCGACAAAAAAAATAAATAAAATAAAAAATAAATAAATAAATAAAAAATAATAAAATAAATAAAATAAATAAATAACATAACAAATAATAGTAAAAATATATATAATAATAAAATAAATAGTGTTAAATAAATAAAATTAGTATCATGAATATCTAACCGTAACTTTAAATACCAATAAAACAAAATAATAATATTAATAGTAATAGTTGTTTACCGTATAATTTGGTTATTTGGGGGCTAAGAAATGTTTCTAATCATATCATTTAAGTGTCGATAAGTCCAGTATGTTGTAAACGCTCACATTGTTGAAGGATTTTGAACAGATTTGTTCCTTAACTTGTTCACTTTGTTTAGCTTGTTCATCATGTGCACTATTTTGACAAACTGCTGCTTCATGGCGATGTCAGATCCTCCTCTCTGGACCAAATACCTCGAGTAAGCAGCACTTTTATTCTGCCATCCTGTTTTTCAATGTTTACACATATATGTTTGAAACTACTGTGGATTTTGTGGATTTAACTAGCAGGGTTGCCAGGTTGTCACAGCAAAACGAGCACAATGACCAAAAATAGTCCAATGGCCAATCAAACTAGCCCAATGATACCAAAACTCAAAATACACCACTCACCATATCTAAAATACACATTTTACATCCCTGTATGCATTATACAATGTTTATTTTGTATAAATCACTGTATATTACTAATTACAAATATTCTGCTTTTATAAATAACATTGTATCTTCTGTCACTGTTACCTTTGAAACAAATACAGCCACACACACAGTATTCAACATTCTACTATAGTTGTTTTTATTGGTAGAATATGTCAGTTGTTCCCAAAGTTGGGGTCGCGGGACAATTAGCGGGGGTCACTTTGTGATTTGCAAAAATCAAATTTATTTTATATAACCAAGTTGAATTAATCTACAGAAGAAAAAAATGTAGTTACATAAAAAAGCTAATACAAAGTCATCATCGTTTCAATTTTTTAGCGACCCTTGGGGTGATTGCATCGTATTAAAGACACAGCATTAGCGTCAGATGCAGAAGATTGATTTTATGGCACCAGGTTAAACTTTGACACCTTTACGGCACTCACGTACAATAAAAAATAAATACAAGCCACAACTAAACATGGAGGATGGTCTCCGAAACTTGGGCCTATAAGTATGTCTGCACTGTTGTGTGCAAGGTTTATATATTTATAACGACCTCAGAAGATAATGGGAGTAGCAAATTGAAAAGTTTGGGAACCCCTGGAATATGTGAAGTATTTTAAGGCAACCATATAAAAATATTTGGTGCTTTGTGTCAACCTCATAACCTGCAGAATTAAAAACAAACCACAGCAAGTGATTAAAAGAAGCCCAAATCTGTGAACTTGGCAACCTTGTTTACTACTGCTATCAAATATGCATCATTTTGGTGGTCTTTAGATGACGTGCATTTATATACACTCACTTTATTAGGTACACCTGTCCAACTGCTCGTTAACGCAAATTTCTAATCAGCCAATCACATGGCAGCAACTATAGGATTGAGGCTACACTTCGCACAGGCTCACCAAAACTGGACAATAGAAGATTGGAAAAGCGTTGCCTGGTCTGATGAGTCTCCATTTCTGCTGCAACATTCGGATGGTAGGATCAAAGTTTGACGTCAACGACATGAGAGCATGGATCCATCCTGTCTTGTATCAACGGTTCAGGCTGATGGTGTTGGTTTAATGGTTGTAGGCGATATTTTCTTGGCACACTTTGGGCCCGTTAGTACCAATTGAGCAGCGTGTCAACACCACAGCCTACCTGAGCATTGCTGAACATGTCCATCCCTTTATGACCACAGTGTACCCATCTTCAGATGGCTACTTCCAGCAGGATAACACGCCATGTCATAAGGCGTGAATCATCTCAGACGGTTTCTTGAACATGACAATGAGTTCACTGTACTCAAATGGTCTCCACAGTCACCGGATCTCAATCCAATAGAGCACTTTTGGCATGTGGTGGAACGGGAGATTCGCATCATGGATGTGCAGCCGACAAATCTGCAGCAACTGCGTGATGCTATCATGTCAATATGGAGCAAAATCTCTGAGGAATAATTCCAGTACCTTGTTGAATCTATGTCAGGAAGGATTTAGGCAGTTCTGAAGCCAAAAGGGGGTCCAACCTGACACTAGTAAGGTGTACCTAATAAAGTGGCCGGTGAGTGTAGATGAAATTTGTTAATTATTTTAAACTGTAAAAACAGCTGTGTATTTAATTTTGAGACCTTGCTATCATGTTTTAAAATAAAACAAATTAAACTACTTAAATAAAAATTTAATAATTGTCATTTTTACAAACAATTTAATACTCTACTAGTGAAAATAATTACATTTTAGTTCAAATAAAGGCACAATAACTGCAGAACATGTATAAATTAATAACATTTATAACCTTTTATTTATTTTACTTTACTTTAAGTAGTATTTTTGTATAAAATATTTTATTAAATAATTATTTTGTGACAGCTTAATGTCTGTGTAGAGTTTTTTAAACTCTAAAAACATTAAAAATGTAAAAATCTCAATGATTAAAAGGTATTTGCTTTTAAATAAATAAAGGGTATTTGCTTTTTAATGATTTTTTTTTAACTTAAAATATGTTTTACATCCAAAATGATGCATATCTGAGTTTAAACAGGATATTTAATGAGAAACTAATGCCTATTAATTTTGCCTTTCATTCAATCCAGCCTCCATACATGCTAAATAGAGTTTTCCTTCTTAATTTAATGCTTTGCTAGGGTCCCGAAAACCACATTGGTAAGAGCTGCATCTCTATAAGCCTGTCGTCACAGTTCTGCCTGCAGCATCAGCAATACCACACTGCCATGATGTCACGTCCCATTCGATTTTTGAACGTCTCTAACATTACGTGCATTCACATGGGAGCGTGAGAGTGTTAAATTTAAGCTAAAGCTGTGTAGCGCAGGTTTCCGGTGTCTAAGCCCTGGCCTAGATTTTAACAGATGACCAGAGTTTCCATATTCACTGATTATGCCTCTAATACAAAGCCACAGCGACCCAGCTCAAATAGAAAAACATCATATGCATGTGTGGAATAGATTTTAAAGAGATTGAGCATGAGCATGCAGCATGTTCACAATTCACCACTCGCATTGAAATAAACCTGATGCATGTTGATTTAAAAAGAGGCCACTTACTGTAGTCATCACTGTTAAATGTTTTCTATTGGCTGATGTTTTCTCTCATGTGTTTCTTCAGGTATACATTCACTGGCATTTACACATTCGAGTCTCTGATTAAGATCTTGGCCAGAGGGTTTTGTACTGAGTGTTTCACCTTCCTCCGAGACCCATGGAACTGGCTGGATTTCAGTGTCATCGTCATGGCGTGAGTTTAGTTTTTGGCACTTTAGAAACAGACCCTTTAAATGCAATAATGTGTTTCCACATATATTAGTACTGGGATAGTTCACTCACTTAGTAAAGGGATAGTTCACCCAAAAATGGAAAGTGAATCTCTTTTTTCTCGTACTCCAGTGGCTCCCAACCATAATGAGTTGACTCAACAACTCTAAAGAAAATATTTTGTAGAATGTTGGAACCTGTAGCCGTTGACATCCATAAATTAGTAGAAAAATTACTATGGAAGTCAGTGGCTACCAGTTTCCAGCTTTTTATATATATTTATATTTTTAGAAGAAAGGAACTTTGGTTTCTGACAAGTGAAGAGTGAGTAAATGATGATAGAATATTCATTTTATATTTTTAATATAATATCCATCACTAATGATGCTGTTAACTGAAATTCAAATATGCAGAATGTTTGGATTCCAAAAGGCACTGTAATGCTGCGTTCACACCAGATGCGGAACACGCGTCAAGCGCGAGTGATTTACATGTTAAGTCAATGCGAACGCGTGAATAGACATCCTGCGGCGCGATACGCGCGAATGGCGTGGCGCAAATAATGAGAATTGCACGGTGCGCATGGTGAGAATGGCGCGAATCACTCGCATTCGAAAATCTGAAATTCAGCGTACATTCGCGCCGCGTTAACCAATCAGGAGCTTGCTCTTGTGGGGGCGCTATTGTGACGTATCGCCTGTTGTCGGTGTCCCAGAGGAAATCCCCCAGCAGACACCGACAAGAAGTTCATCAAACTGGGCTTGGCTCAGTCAGAAGCACCGCTGAAAACCTCCATCTGCCAGGTTCAGTTTCTGGAGGAGTCTATGAGCTTAAAGAGCTGGATGCAGCTCTGAAAGGATGTAGTGGACTCAGACACGGCTCTAAACGTATCGACGCTGTTTATCATCCTTCATAAAGCACATAAACACTGTTATTTTCTTCATAAAATCCATGTTAGCCCTTTAGCTATGAAGCTAGAGTCACGGGGCAGACAGAAGCCCTGCCCATCACGCGAATCCGCGTCTGTTCTGAAGTGAATTTGACGCGCGAATGAAGCGGGGTTTGACGCGCGAATGAAGCGATTAACCTCAAATGTTCACGCGACTATTTACGTGTGAATAGCGTGATTTATCCGCGCGTTCCGCTTCTGGTGTGAACACAGCATAAGTGGTAGAGATAACACAGCGATAACTCACAAGAGACAAGGTAAACTCAACAATTAGAGCAGAGTAGAGCCAATTGACTAATGAGAGCCGAGTTGGAATATCTGACCAGAGAACAATAGGGTTAGCTGACCAATCCAACTAGAGTACGACCGACTGACCAATCAGAACAGAGTAAGACTAATGGACAATCAGAGGAGTGAAGGGTGAACTTTCTAATTAGAACAGAGGAGGGTCATTTGACTAGAGCAGAGTAGGATCAACTGATCAATCACAGTACAGTGGGATTATATGGCCAATCAGAGCAGAGGAGGGTCAACTGGCCAATCAGAACAGAGTAATCTGATCAGAGCAAATTTGGAACAACTGACCAATCAGAGCAAGGTGGGACTACATGACCAATCATAGCAGAGAAGAGCCAAATGACCAATCAGAAAGGAGTAGGGTCATCTGATTGGAGTAGAGTAAAATCAACTGATCAATCAGAGCACAGTGTGACCATATGGAAGTCAACTGACCAATCAGAACCGAGTAGTGTCATCTGACTGGAGCAGAATAGAATCAACTCACCAATCAGAGCACAGTGGGACCATATGGCCAATCAGAGCAGAGAAGGGTCAACTGACTGAAGCAGAATAGAATCAACTCACCAATAAGAGCACAGTGGGACCATATGGCCAATCAGAGCAGAGAGGGGTCAACTGACTGGAGCAGAATAGAATCAACTCACCAATCAGAGCACAGTGGGACCATATGGCCAATCAGAGCAGAGAAGGGTCAACTGACCAATCAGAACAGAGTAGGGTCATCTGACTGAAGCAGAGTAGAATCAACTGACCAATCAGAGCAAAATGGGACCATAAGTCCAATCAGAGCAGAGAAGGGTCAATTGACAAATTAGAACAGAGCATGACTATATGACCAATCAGAGCAGAGAAGGGTGAACTGACTAATCAGAACAGAGTCATCTGACCAGAGCACAGTAGGACTAACTGTCCAATCAGAGCAGAGAATGGTCAACTAACTAATCAGAACAGAGTAGTGTCATCTGACTGGAGCAGAATAGAATCAACTGACCAATCAGAGCAAAGTATGACTATATGGCAAATCAGAGCAGAGAAGGGTGAACTGATTAATCAGAAGAGAGTCATCTGACTAGAGCACAGTAGGACGAACTGACCAATCAAAGCAAAGTGGGACCACATAGCCACTCTGAGCAGAGAAGAGCCGAATGACCAATCGGAACAGAGTAGAGTCATCTGACTGGTGCAGAGTAGAATCAACTAACCAATCAGAGCAAAGTGGGATGACATAGCCAATCAGGGCAGAGAGGAGCCAAATGACCAATCAGAGCAAAGTGGGACCACATGACCAATCAGAACAAAGAAGAGCCAAATGACCAATCAGAACAGACTAGTGTCATCTGACTAGAGCACAGTAGGACCAACTGACCAATCAGAGCAAAGTGGGACCACATAGCCACTCTGAGCAGAAAAGAGCCAAATGACCAATCGGAACAGAGTAGAGTCATCTGACTGGAGCAAAGTAGAATCAACTGACCAATCAGAGCAAAGTGGGACCACATGACCAATCAGAGCAAAGAAGGGCCAAATGACCAATCAGAACAGAGTAGGGTCATCTGACTGGAGCAGAGTAGAATCAACAGACCGATCAGAGCATAGTAGGACCATGTGGCCAATCAGAGCAGTAAATGGACAACTGACCAATCAGAATAGATTAGGGTCATCTGATTGGAGCAGAGTAGAATCAACTGACCAATCAGAACATAGTAAGATTATCTGACATAAGCAGCGTAGGACCAAATGAACAATCAAAGCAGAGTAGGGTTAACTGACCAATGACAGCAGAGAAGGATCAACCGTCCGATCAGAATAGAGTAGGGTCTTCTGACCAGAGTAGAGTAGGACAACATGACCAATCAGAGCACAGTGGGACCATGTGGCCAATCAGTAGGGATCATGTAGCCAATCAGAGCAGAGAAGTGTCAACTGACCAATAAGAACAGAGTAGGGTAATCTGACAAGAGCAGTGTAGGATCACCTAAACAATCAAAGCAGAGTAGGGTCAACTGACGAATCAGAGTAGGGTCATCTAACCAAAGTAGAGTAAAACCAATAGATCAATTAAAAGCACAGTGAGACCATCTGGCGAGTCAGAGTAAAGCAGGGTCAACTGACCAATCAGAGCAGAGTAGTTATCCAAATGATCAGTCAGAACAGAGTAGGGTCATCTGACTAGAGCAGAGTAGAATCAACTGACCAATCAGAGCACAGTGGGACCATGTGGCCAATCAGTGCGGATTATGTAGCCAATCAGAACAGAGTAGGCTTATCTGACCAAAGCGGAGTAGGACCAACAGACCAAAGCACAGTGAGACCATCTGGCCAGTCAGAGCAAAGCCAGGTCAATTGACCAATCAGAATAGGATTATTTGAATAATTAAATCTTTATCTCCTTTCCTTAAAAAAAGTAAAAATCATGGTTCAAGTATATATCAAGTACTTATTCATGGTGCTGTCCATGGTGCTGAACATCATACTGTGCAAGGCCAGAGAGTGGATTGGATGCAGAAACAGAGAGAATTCAAGAAAGATGAAAATCATGAGAAGCAGGTACCCAGAAAGAGATTTGTCAGGTGACCTAAATATGCAGCATTACAGCTCAACCGAATCAGAGGAGTGGATTAACTGAAAGAGAGAGAGAGACAGACTACTGCAGGATGAACATTTCCATCATTAACAAACCGCGCTGTTTGTAAAGTTTAGAGGGGTCATCTCTTCTGCTTTACATCTGATCTGCTGTTGGGGAAAGCAAATATAAGATGCTCTGTTCGTCTCACTATTATTATTATTATTATTAGTAGTAGTAGTATAGTAGTATTATCATAATTAATTTTAAAATAAGATAAATAGAACAATAAAAACAATGGACAGACAGACAGACAGACAGACAGACAGATAGATAGATAGACAGATAGATAGATAGACAGATAGATAGATAGATAGATAGATAGATAGATAGATAGATAGATAGATAGATAGATAGATAGATAGATAGATAGATAGATAGATAGATAGATAGATAGATAGATAGATAGATAGATAGATAGACAGACAGACGGACGGACGGACGGACGGACGGACGGACAGAAGAAAGATAGAACAGACGGATGGTCGGACAAACAGACAGATAGAAAACGGACAGACGGACAGACAGATATATAGATAGTCCTCATTTGTAAGTCGCTTTGGATAAAAGCATCTGCTAAATGACTAAATGTAAATGTAGATAAAACGGATGGATGGTCGGTAAGACGGACAGACAGACAGATTAACGGACGGACGGACGGACAGATAGATCAACGGACAGACAGACAGATAAATAGAACGGACAGACGGATGGGCGGACGGACAGACAGATTTACGGACGGACAGACAGACAGACAGACAAACAGATAGATCGACAGACAGACAAACAGATAGATCGACGGACGGACGGACGGACGGACGGACGGACAGACAGACAGATAGATTGATAGATAGATAGATAGAACAGAAGGATGGTCGGACAAACAGACAGATAGAAAACGGACAGACGGACAGACAGATAAATAGATAAAACGGACGGATGGTTGGTCAGACGGACAGACAGACAGACAGATTAACGGACGGATAGACAGATAGATCAACGGACAGACGGACAAATAGAACGGATGGGCGGACGGGCGGGCGGGCTTATGGACGGACGGGTAGGTTGGTAGGTAGGTAGATAGATAGATAGATAGATAGATAGATAGATAGATAGATAGATAGATAGATAGATAGATAGATAGATAGATAGATAGATAGATAGATAGATAGATAGATAGATAGATAGATAGATAGATAGATAGATAGATGGATGAATGGACGGACGGACGGACGGACGGACGGACGGACGGACGGACGGACAGACAGAAGAAAGATAGATAGACAGACAGACTGAGAGAGGGATGGATGGATGGACAGAAGAAAGATAGATAGACAGACAGACAGAGAGAGGGATGGATGGATGGATGGATGGATGGATAGATAGATAGATAGATAGATAGATAGATAGATAGATAGATAGATAGATAGATAGATAGATAGATAGATAGATAGATAGATAGATAGATAGATAGATAGATAGATAGATAGATAGATAGATAGATAGATAGATAGAATGATAGAATGATCGATAGATGGATGGATGGATGGATGGATGGATGGATGGATGGATGGATGGATGGATGGATGGATGGATGGATGGATGGATGGATGGATGGATGGATGGATAGATAGATAGATAGATGGATAGATGGATAGATGGATAGATGGATAGATGAATAGATAGATGGATAGATAGATAGATAGATAGATAGATAGATAGATAGATAGATAGATAGATAGATAGATAGATAGATAGATAGATAGATAGATAGATAGATAGATAGATAGATAGATAGATAGATAGATAGATAGATCAGAAGGATGGTCGGACGGACAGACAGACAGATAAATAGAACGGACAGACGGATGGACGGACAGACAGACAGACAGACAAACAGATAGATCAATGGACGGACGGACGGACGGACAGACAGACAGACAGACAGACGGACAGACAGACAGACAGACAGACAGACAGATAGATAGATAGATAGATAGATAGATAGCTTGACGGAAAGACGGACAGACAGATATATAGATAAAACGGACTGATGGTCGGTCAGACGGACAGACAGATTAACGGACGGACGGACAGATAGATCAACGGACAGACGGACAGACAGACAAATAGAACGGATGGGCGGACGGGCGGGCGGGCTTACGGACGGACGGACGGGTAGGTAGGTAGGTAGGTAGATAGACGGATGGACGGACAGACAGACAGACAGACAGACAGACAGACAGACAGACAGACAGACAGATAGACAGATAGATAGATAGATAGATAGATAGATAGATAGATAGATAGATAGATAGATAGATAGATAGATAGATAGATAGATAGATAGATAGATAGATAGATAGATAGATAGATAGATAGATAGAAGTGCCCTTGGTTAACAAAAGAAAACAATAAAAAGAGATAGTTTGCCCAGTTTTTTTTTTCTTTTTCTTTTGTTGAACCCTAAAGAATGTATTTTGATGAATGTTAGAAGCTGGTACCCATTGATTCATAAAGGTTTGAAACCACCTGAGGGTGTGAGCACATTATATACTGTTGAAGTCAGAATTATTAGCCCCCCTGTTTATTTTTTTCCACAATTTCTAAACATAATAGTTTTAATAACTCATTTCTAATGACTGACTTATTTTATCTTTGCCATGATGATAGTAAATAATATTTGACTAGACATATTTCAAGACAACTAGGTTTAACTAGGTTAAATAGGTTAAATCGGCAGGTTAGGGTAATTAGGCAAGTTATTGTATAATGATAGGTTGATCTGTAGACTATCAAGAAAAAAAATATAGCTTAAAGGGTGTAATAATTTTGACCTTTAAATAATTTTTTAAAAATTAAAAACTGATTTTACTCTACCCGAAATAAAACAAATAAGACTTTCTCCAGAAGAAAAAATATTAGCAGACATGCTGTGAAACTTTCCTTGTTAAACATCATTTGGGAAATATTTAAAAAGAAAATAAAATTCAAAGGGGGGTAATAATTCTGACTTCAACTGTATATATATATAAGATGTTAAATGAAACATTATTATCTTTTTTGGTGTTATGATGTTTGTATTTTGGTGGTTTTCAGTTACTTAGGATCATCTATGAAGTCTATGAAACCTGGAATGATGGTGTGTGATACCAAAATACAAAATATCCGCTTTGCTCGTTATTAATTATGCAAAATGTTCAAAGCGCATAAAGCCAAGCTGATTAGATTAATGTGGCGTCTCTCTCTGTGTAGTCATTAAGAGTGACAGAGCCGATTTCTCTGGTGCAGAACTATTATAAAATATACACAGACCCGTTTGGAGGGCCGGTCAATCTCTAAGACCCCATTAACACTGCCAGTGAAATGTAACACAATTCTGATTTTTTGCTCGTATGAGACACAGATCGGATCTGTTCTATGACCGTGGAAACACGAAAAAAACGCATGCATTCGGAAATTCACAGGTCGGTTTCAGGCCTCCTTCATATGTGGAAATCAATCAGATATAGATTGGATATGTGACAATGCGACTGTCGTGTAAACAGGCAGATCGGATTTATTGAGGCATTCCGTTCTGTACATCATTAAACTTGCGACAAAGTGGTGCTTCTCCGCGGTTTAATGACAGAAAGAAGATTGTGTGTGGAGATGCCGACGCAGTAAACAACATCAGTGAAAACACAGAGGAGGAAAATAGTCAGTCGCCACAATTTGCTCCCACCAGACCTGAGATCTCTCTCGTACCCACAAATTCCTCTGAATGGTGGAGCACACCATATATAAACCATAAGCGAAAGCTGCGACGACAGCTCTTTCCCACCTCTGGTTCAAAATAACTTTTAAGTTGTACAAACTTCGTTTTGTAACTTTTGCTTTTTGTCGCTATTAATACACGCACTGCGGGCTACACATAGAACAACTTTATTCTCCACCAGTATAACACCAGTGCGCACACAGACAAAGGCTACATCTTTAACTACACACACACACACACATCAGGGCCATACCATTACATAAACTGCGCGGGAGTAAATTTGGACTGAACCATTCACTTCTTATACTACATTTCACAGAACTAAAAACAAGACAATTTCTTCCATCGTGGCTAGTGTGGCACAGATGCTAGAACCCGCCTTTATGCATGCGTGACATCGTAAATTGTATGGCAGGTGTAAACACATGAATTGGATATGACATAAAACATGATATAAATATATAAAACATATTATATGATATAAAACAACGTTTAAACAGACAGGCAAACGAATCAAATATAGGCAACAAATCGGAATTGGGCATCAAGACCTGGCTGTGTAAACGGGGCCTAATGGTCAGTTTGACGCTTCAGCCACAATAATCTTAACCACGCCCCTTTTACCATTAGTTTGCTAAAGGAGAAAGATGCAAAAAAGCCCCGCCCCTACTCAATATTCCATTTCAGTTGGAAGTACATCAATATACTGAAATAAAAGTTCCGGTTTAGGTCTTCAAGTGAAGTTTCACAAACTAATTTCGAGAGGAGCACATGATATGATTGACTGCAGCTGGCCACCCAGCTACATTCATTAGTTAGCCAATCAGATTAATCCAAACTCACTATAAGTAGCCTAGCTAGAACTACTCCCTTATCTTTGTTTTCCGAAGAAACCACCATTCATTCCTTCTCCTCCTTTCCTCCTTTACCACAGCTCTCGAGAACCACCTGATCTCGTACTCCCCTTACATGCTCTATGGACCTGGCGGGAGCCCTGGGCTCAACTATCTCCGAGCTCAGGGTTCTCTCCCAGGACAGCATGCCAAACCTGCTAACAGTTGAAAAACGATATCTAAGTGTGAACTCTTGAAATGAACATAAATCAATGTTCATACTGCTGAGTGACTGCTGTCCCTGTCTTTTTTTACAGGTATGTGACAGAGTTTGTGGACCTGGGAAATGTATCAGCATTGCGAACGTTCAGAGTTCTGCGGGCTCTAAAAACAATATCGGTGATCCCAGGTGAAACACACATTCACTTTCTGCTTCTATACATGCTCTAGATTCATTCAAGAGTTCATGTGTGCTGTTTATTTGACATATTTTAATATTAACCTGACACTACTATGTTTAAAGCTGTTCGTTCATTTATTCATTTACCCTTTATTAATCTTTGGTCGCCACAGCGGAATGAACCGCCAACTTATCTAGCATATGTTTTACGCAGCGGATGCCCTTTCAGAAGCAACTCATCACTGGGAAACATCCATACACACTAATTCACACACATATACTACGGACAATTTAGCCTACCCAATTCACCAATAGCTCATGTTTTTGGACTTGTGAGGGAAACCGGAGCACCCGGTGGAAACCCATGCCAACACTAGGAGAACATGCAAACTATACACAGAAACTTACCCAACCAAGGCTCAAACCAGTTAAAACATTTACTATTAGCAGGTTAGCCGAATAATATCAAAACTCAAAAACCCACTCGTAAAATACATACTTTAAAAAAAGCGTTAATGACTGTTGCGAGTCTTTGGTGGCTGCAATATTCATTCATTCATTTTCCTTCAGCTAAGTCCCTTATATATCAGGGGTCGCCACAGCGGAATGAACCGCCAGCTTATCCAGCATATGTTTTACACAGTGGATGCTCTTTAAACTGCAACCCAATGTTGGGAAACCCATACACACACACTCATACACTATAGACAATTTGGTTCATCCAATTGGCCTATAGCTCATGTCTTTGGAAACCAACGCAATCTAACGGCAAGTTGTAACTTTTTAATTAAGTGGCTAAATCGTATGAATTTGTGCGACCTAATTCGTACAATTTAGTACGATTTGCTCATCACCCAATGATGGCGGGGGGTGGGGTGCCACGCCTCCTTTTTAAAATCGTACATTTTCGTACGACTGAACTTGTACGAATTCGTAAAAATTAGCCACTAAACTGACAAAACGTAAAATACTTACGTTTCCTCGTGAGGTCAGGCTGGGGAAACTGGAGCACCCGGAGGAAACTCGTGTCAACACGAGGAGAACATGCAAACAATACACAGAAATGCCAACTGACCAGGCCAGGGACTCGAACCAGAGACCTTCTTGCTGTGAGGTGACAGTGCTAACCACTGAGCCACCATGTTGCCCCACTACAATATTACTTTGGTCAGAAACAACTTAATTTAATTAATATTTACTCCTACAGGTCTTTTTACAATGTATATCGCTTCAAAGCAGCTTAACATAGATGAAGTTCTAGTAAATTGAAGCTGCTTCAGTTCAGTTTAGTAGTTTGGTATTTTCTAGTCCTGTTTCCACATTGTAGATCCTGCGATGTGACACACGTTGCAATATCAATGCTAAAACGATATACCGCGCAGCCCTATAGCTAATATGTACTATTCTATAAAACACTCTATAAATACATTTGACTCAAGTCTTTCCATCTCTCCAGGTTTGAAGACCATTGTCGGTGCTCTGATCCAGTCGGTGAAGAAGCTGGCGGACGTGATGATCCTCACGGTTTTCTGTCTCAGTGTCTTCGCTCTGATCGGTCTGCAGCTCTTCATGGGGATCCTGAGACAGAAGTGCGTCCGCAGCATCGGCCACTGCGTCAACTCCACATACCCCGGAAACGGGAGCTTCGTCTGCAACAACAAGACCTGGCTTTCTGTCAAAGACTTCCTCACTAATGAAGGTGCAGATCATTTATTTTGAATTAGACACATTCTAGAATTGCGGGAACATTTCAAGCATGCTTGAAATCAATTTGAGTACTGAATTTTTTAGGCACACATCAAATTAAAACTAACCATATTGATTTTTCATTAGCTCACATTGCTAGTTTTGTGGTGCATCTGTGCATGTCATTAAGAAAAAAACAATAGTTTACCCTCATAATCTATAACTGAAATATAAAAATGCACTTCCCGTTTGTTTTCAGTTAAACTTTCAGATTCCGTCTGTCTAATGTATTGGGCGTGGCTAACATACATAACCACGTTCCTACTGCTGTCAGTATTGACGACAAACAGAAATGGTGAGCAGGAGGAGTCTGTTAGGTTGTAATAACTCTCCCAAAACCCTTTTCCACATCGTTCTGAACAAAATGCCTACTTTACTACATCCAATCAGCTCGTAGTAGAAAAAACAAGCCCCGCCCGTTTTTTGTCAATATTTCGTTTCTCTAGGAACTGCATCACAATATGAAAAAAACAAGTCACAGCATCTGGTTCATATGGACTTTCACTCTCTAATTTCAGTATATACCCTGTAAACATAAACACACATTGTTTTTAGGCATAATGTGATAGTATTTGTGTTATTATTCAAAACAGTTTCGTTAAAGTGTTTGTTTTATAAAAACAAACGAAGGTTGATCTTGGATGGTTTATCTTGAATGTACCCACAATTCTAGAATCAGCCATATATTGCATCATTTATTTTTTATTTATCGCTGAGTGTGTTTACATACATGTTTTTAATTGGATTATACTTCATAGTGCGCATGGTCACTGTGTAGCGATTTACTTAATCAGCATGATGTCATAAACGGCTTAAGCGTAAGCCACTGACAGCTCGATTTTCACTCATTATCCTTATTTCTCCAATAATAGGAGAAAAATCTTTAAATTGTTTGACACATTTGACTGTGTGCCACATAAACTGCAACATTTGCATATTTGTTTCCATTTTAATTTCAAATTAAAATTTAAATGAATTTAAAAATGTTTTATTTCTATTTTTCTATTATTTTTCAAATATATAATTTATTTTAAAAAAAGTTTCTTTTCTTTCAGTTTTTGTTGCATCAAGGTAAACTGATTGAAAAACGATCTGAAATTTCTGGCTGATACCGATAATAACTCGATATTTAAAAGCTTTTATCTTATATACAGTTGAAAGCAGAAGTTTACATACACTGTATAAAAAGGCACATAACCATTAAAAAAAAAAGTCAGATGTAATGACTAAACTTTTTCTCTTTTAGGTAAGTTAGGATTATCAAATTTGTTTCTGTTATGCTTAATAGCAGAATAATGAAATATTTATTTTTGAAAATTTTTTGAGAAAGAAAACTTTTCTTGAAAGTCAAGTTTAAATACAATAAGATTATTCTGCCTCTGAAAAGGCTCATATGATGGTGTCAATGTTTTGGAAGTTTCTGATTGGCTAATTGAGAACATGAGTTAATTGGAGGCACAACTGTAGAATAGTATTTAAGGAAAATCTCAAACACACTGCACAAGCCTAGGAACACCATCCCAACTGTGAAGTATGGGGGCGAAGAACGAACATTATGTAGAAATACTGAAGCAACATCTCAAGATATCAGCCAAGAAATTAAAACTACTGCCAAATTAGTTAAAATGTGCTTTAAGGACAACAGAGTGAATGTTTCGGAGTGGCCATCACAAAGCCCTGATCTCAATCCTATAGAAAATTTATGGGCAGAGTTAAAAAAAGACTGTGCGAGTAAGCCAAGAAAGCTGACTCAGTTACAACAATTCTGTCAGGAGGAATGGGCCAAAATTTCAGCAAACTATTATAAGAAGCTTGTGGAAGGATACCCAAAACATTTGACCAAAGTTATACAGTTTAAAAGCAAACCTAAAAAATACCAAAGAAATGTGTGTTAACTTTTGGCTGTCTAGAAATTAATAAAAAAAAATTCTCAAAAAGAAAAAATGAATAAAAAAACAAAAAAAAGTGGAAAAAAATGAATAAAATCTTGATATGTATTTGATTATAAAAACAAAAGGCAAATGCAGTGGACAAACTTTTTTTTTTTTTTTTTCAAAACCTTAACTAACATCAGGGAAACTGCATTCATTTACCTATCGTGATTGGCTGTTTTTGATAAAGGGAGAAGCTACTTTATGTCCCACCTTGTCTTCATGTTTCAGTTGAGATAACATCAAACAACGAATGAAAAATGCACTTCACAAGACCTTAAATATGGTTAATTTTATATTTTATTTTCATTTGATTTAAAGAGAAAGGTTGTTAACTAACTATAACAAAACTCTGATTCAAATTGACTTTCAAAGTGTTTTGCAGAAGTCACTGAATTTTACTTTTGCCCCCTTAGATAATTTCTACAAAATTGAAGGATCCAAGGATGCCTTAATATGCGGATACAGCAGCGATGCTGGGTGAGTAATCTGACTTATCACATTGTGCAAAAACAGCATGGTTATTGATTTCCATTTGTTGTTACGAGTTCAGTTTGCAGACATTTTGTGTGCGGCAACTCAGCATTACATACAATTGAAGTCAATTGAAGAATTATTAGCCCCCCTGTTTTTATTTTCCCCCATTTTCTGTTTAACAGAGAGAAGATTTTTTAATAGTTTTAATAACTCATTTCTAATAACTAATTTATTTTATCTTTGCCCTGATGACAGTTAATTATGTTAGACTAGATATTTATTTTACAAGATACTTCTGTAGTATTCAGCTTCAAGTGACATTTAAAGGTTCACAAAACCCTCGAGTGCTTTTTTTGAGATTTTAACAGATATGTGTGTGTTGAGCATTAGTTAAGACAATGTTAGCATCTGTCAGCTTTAATTGTGGGGAAAACTGGATAATTTAAGCTTTTGTCAGCTAATTTCAGCTTCCGGTTTAAAATGATTTTTGGGGCGGGATCAAAATAGTCGACGCAGTGCAAAACTGCAAGTGCAAAGAATGACACGTCAGTTTCTCATTATTATTCATGGCTGAGTTTTCTTATCCTATGAGAAGAGCCGGCTTCTTAATTATTCATGACTGCGCGTGCTTTCCGAAGGCAAGGCAGACCTGCCAGTGCCAAGCTGTGAGACACGTTGATGACTGGGTTAGACCGCGTCCACGGACCCACAGCACACAGTATTTAGCTGTTCATGAAGGGTCGTATGTGTTTGTTTCCATGATCCACGGGGTTTGTTGCATGTTTTTACCCACGATCCTGTCAGGGCCGATACAGCAAGGCTGTTTGTGTGCAGCAAGCATTTTTGTCTGGAGAGCAGTAGGAGAATTGGAGAATGGTGGTCGTTGTCTTTTATCAGGAGCTCGTTCACATTCAGACACATCGCCGTGCTGCTGCGTTTGCCTGAATCCTCTAGATTACCAGCAGGGCTAATGGTGAAAATAGACAGGGCAAGAGACCTGCTGCACTCTGCATTCAGACCCGGGGATTGAGGGAGAAGGCCTCATTTTGTGTTTATATGAACACGATTATCTTTATAATGATATAAATTGTGGTTATATTTATATGAAATTAAGAATAACAAATGTTGCAGGACATTAAATCACAGTTTATTTCTTTACATTTTAACTTTGTGGACTATAAATCATGCGTCTCCTCACAGTTTGTATGTCATTTTGTGAGCTGATAACAGTTGTTCACTCCCCTCCTTCTTCCCTGCTGGCCACGCCCACTCCCGCCCTTTGCTCGTGGAGCTCCACGCCCATTATCATGCATCTTTTAAAAAAAAATCTGAGGTAGACCTGAACTGAAATTGGGGGGGTTTCATGGCCCTTTAAAGGCTTAACTAGGTTAATTAAGCAAGTTAAAGTAATTAGTCAAGTCATAGTATAACAATGTTTTTTTCTGTAGACCTACAAAAAATAATATTAAAAATAATAAGTATTATAATAATTTTAATAATTAATAATTAAATAATAATAAACTAATAATTTTGACCTTAAAATGATTAAAATTTGTAAAAAATATTTGTTATCAGACATACTGTGAAAAATTCCTTGCTCCATTAAACATCATTTGGGAAACATTTGAAAAAGAAAAAAAACTCAGAGGAGGGCGAATAATTTCGACTTCAACTGTAGATAATCACTCATCTACCCCGTTTCATTCATATGAATCATTAGTAGAAGTTTCCAAGAATCCTAAATAGGATACCGCTTAATGTGAGAACACAGCGCTGTCTCTGCGTGTGAGAAGATGCATCCGTCTGCATGTGGACATGTGGGATTTAATCAGAGCTTTATGACAGCCTCTCATGATATCACGGAAAGATGAGCTTCCTTTAAAGCTTACATGTCATTACATGTTAGCTAATTAGTAAAAGGATAGGTGTATTTTAAAAAATAAACATGGGTTAAAGAGAGGCATGGGTCGGTATAAAATTCTGACGTATGATAACCTTGGATTAAAATATCACGGTTTCACAGAATCACGGTATTGTGATCACTGCTCTAAAATTGATTCTTTTTAAATGTCTGTGCAAAAAATGTAAAACTTTTTTTCCCTTTAAACACAATATAATTTATTTTAAGAAACATTTAAGATATTTTGGAGAAGTAAACACGTCAGGCTAAAAAAATAAAATAATCCATTGACTTCTGCTGTATTTGTTAGTTTCATAAGCACAGATTTCTTTACAATTTAAAACACCATCTTTGGATATCTTTTCTGCTGGAGATACTTTCATCCTAAAAAAAAATAACAAAAAAAATTATATATATATATATATATATATATATATATATATATATATATATATATATATATATATATATATATATATATATATGTGTGTGTGTGTGTGTGTGTGTGTGTGTGTGTGTGAGAGTGTGTAAATAAAAAATTGTACACATACCTTAGGAATAGTGTAGCACAACATTCTGATGATTTTAAAACCTTGACTTTTCCAAAGCACGGTATACTGTACCTTGAAAACGGTTATCGCCCCATGCCTAGTCAAAATCAGGTAACAGATTTAGGTGTCTGCACCACATCAAATTTAGAAAAAGGATTTAATGTTCATATATAAAGATGTCTTCTGTAAATAATAACAATAACAAAACTATAAATTGACACAATTTTTCATTTTTGCTAAGTTTTAGTAATGAATTAATTCGTTAAGGTCATTAAAATGAACTCAATTTTGTTGATTTAAATGCTTATATATATATAAATATATATATATATATAAGCATTTAAATCATATTATATATATGATTTTATATATATATATATACACAATTGAAGTCAGAATTATTAGCCACAATGAATTATTAGACTATTAGATGAATTATAATTCCAGGAGTTTTCAGGGAGACAGACCAAAATGGGAGATGGGTCTGAGATACGGGAGACTCCTGGGAAAAATGGCAGTGTTGGCAGGTATGACACACACACACACACACACACACAATTAATAAAACCTAAATCATTAAAAAGTTCAAAACGTAAAAACTTTACGTTTAAAAAATTTTATGTATGTTCACTACATTTCTAAATAATATAACAAAACAAAATCACTGTACCAAACAAACAATACAGCATTTGCAAATGATAACAAATAAAGAGACAATTGATGAGTATTTTGGAGCTGCAATCTCGAAAGTCATTAAATTCATTCATTCATTTTCTTGTCGGCTTAGTCTCTTTATTAATCTGGGGTCACCACAGCGGAATGAACCGGCAACTTATCCAGCACATGTTTTACGCTGCGGATGCCCTTCCAGCCGCAACCCATCACTGGGAAACATCCATACACACTCATACACTACGGATAATTTAGCTTACCCAATTCACCTGTACCACTTGCCTTTGGACTTGTAGGGGAAACTGGAGCACCCGGAGAAAACCTACACGAACGCGAGGAGAACATGCAAACTCCACACTGAAAAGCCAACTGAGCTTTTAGGCTTCTAGCTGAGGCTCGAACCAGCGACCTTCTTGCTGTGAGGCGACAGCACTGCGCCACCACGTCGCCAAGTCTTTGACTATGTCAACAAATTATTCTTGCTCCAAATTAAAATAAAAACTATTAATAGACACCATTTCTCATTAAGTTTTAGTAATAAATTATTTCTTTGAGCTCGTGAATAAAAATGAACTCATATTGAAGTATACTAAAAGTAGCAAGTCAATTAATTATAAAAAATACACATATGCACACACACACACACACACACACACGCAATAAATAAAAAACTATCAGCATTAAAATGAACAAAAACATAACAAAAATTAAAAATTAATGTACTTATTAATGATTATTATGATTACTTATTAATGATTTTAATTACTGTATGAATAAAATATCTCTGTCCCAAACACGTCCTTCAATACACTCCAGCATTTACACACACAAGAGGAACTAATCTAGTTGTCTCTGCATTATATGCTGGGATTAGAGAAAGTATATGCACATAAAAAAATGCATCTTTGCTTTTAAGCAGCATTAATAATAATAATAAAAAAAGCGAACAATATTTTTAGAACATGCTGCTTTATGGTTTACCTAAAATACCCTATTAATCTACGTAACTCCACACGGTTCGCTATAACATGCAGAGCTTAAACCAATCCTCATGTGGCATCTAAAGGTTAACCAGTCCAACCTAGTCTGGTCACTTACCCTAACTAACCTCTTCTCTAATAAACCTGCTCTGATTCTCCAGTGGGAAAGGGGAGAGGGAGAGATTATAATGCACTTTTCTAAAGATCTTAGATTGCATTGAGGATTACTGAGAGACCATTCTGTGCAGGACATCACATCCCATACAGAAATCGCATATATGGCCATACTGAAGGAACAAAACATATATATATACACAATTATTGCTAATATATTTTGAATATATGTTTACATTTTTGAAATTTATTGGTTGAAGAATAATATGTAAACAATCATGTTTGCATTATTTTGCAATATGTTGCATAAATAAAATTTTATATACAGTTAAAGTCAGAATTATTAGCCTCCCTTTTAATTTTTTTTTCTTTTTTAAATATTTTATATAATGATGTTTAACAGTTTGCGTGGGTTTCCTCTGGGTGCTCCGGTTTCCCCCATGTATGATTAATAAAGTGACTAAGCTAAAAAGAAAATAAATGAATGAATAATATAATATTTATTATATTATATTGGCCCCAGCCGGGACTCGAACCATCGACCTTCCTGCTGTGAGGCGACAGTGCTAACCACTGAGCCACCATGCCATCATAATATAATATTAAATAAATGAATTTTGCACAGCAGTTTTACTTCTTTTATAGTTGAATGCTTTAAACTGTGATGCATTTCAGGACATAAATAATAACAGCAAATTACTTAAAGGATAATATGTTTTTTTTTTTAGTAACAGATGACTCAGGACACCTTAGCAACAGCAAAGCAACTCCCTAACAACCAATCAT